AAAACAGAAGCACATATGCTCAGCAAAAATTCAGAGAAATATAGCAGGCTCCACCCAAAGAAAAGGCTTTTCGTTATTGAAATTTTTTATTTTAAAAATTACTTATGTTTATTTATGTGTATGTGTGTATACACGCCCATTCAGGTGCCTGTAAAGATCAGAAGAGAGTGTCAGATCTCATGGTTCTAGACTTACACGTAGTTGTGAGCTGCCCAATGTGGGTTGGATCTGAACTCAGGTCATCTGGAAGAACAGTAAAATGTTCTTAACCACTGAACCATCTACCTGTCTTTGAACTTTCAGATTTTATGGGCAAAGAACAATTGTGGACAATGAGGTCTAGCATTCATTGACTTTTATTTTATAAGCATTTATAAGTCATATTAAGCATGGTAATTCTATTCAAGTTTTCTTTCTAGAAATACTTTTGAACTTTAAATTTTCAGAAAATCATAAACATTTTTATAACTGAAAGAAAATAACATATAAGAGTTAAATTCTATATTTAACAATGTTATATGATTTCTCTTCACAATTAATGATATTAGGTCTTAAATATAACTAAACTTGATAGGAATGCTTGGTTAGCACAAGAATTACAATATAGTCATCAGATCCCAGTTCTTTGGGGACTTGGGGAGGATCAACAATGAAGGCCCCTGTTTTCTATAAATGCACTGCATTGGGAGAAGATTTTTACCTAGGACCTAAATCAATCAGAATACACATGAAAATACTCAATATGCTCCTGACCTGGCCAGCAATTGACTTCACTCCACTGTTCTTTCTAGTCAATTGTTAGGCTCATCTGTTGGTGAGCACTTTCAGAATGCCTGCTTTACAGATAGCATCCCGGCAAGATTTTGGAGATGTCATATGAAAATGGTGTATGTGTCTTGGGAAATTTCGGGGAGAGGAGAGTGAAACAAACATTCAAAATTATTGTAACACTGAAATGACTAAAGGCTGCTAATAAAGGCACTGATTAAGAATGAAGAAAATGATGAAATAGAAAAAAGTTCTTTTAAGATTTATTTTATGTGGGTTGAGTGTTTTGCACAAATGAGTGTCTACCATGTGTGTGTCTGGTGCAGCAGAGGTCAGAAGAGGTTTTTTTTTTTTTTTTTTTTTTTTTTTCTTTACGAGATAGGGGTTTCTCTTTAGACCAGACTGTCCTCGAACTCACAGAGATCCACCTCCCTCTGCCTCTTGAGTGCTGGGACTAAAGGTGGGTGGGCATCACCAATGCCAGGGTGTTGGATCTCTTGGGACTAGAATTACTGGTGGTTGAAAGTTGCTGCTGCTGTGTGTTAGGAAATGAACCAAGGTTCCTCTGCAAGTAGAAATGTTCTTAATCACTGAGGAATCTCTTCAATCTGAAAGAGAAAGCTTAAAAACGGGAGGAAATGGTATTAGAACAATGAGGGAAGGCCTACATTTAGCTGAGAAATTCGTAATAGGGAAATAATATTATCTTATTTGTGCTTTAGAGTACTTCATTGTGATGGCAGAAAGGAAGGCAAACTTTTGAGTACTCAAGGCTGGAGGCTAGTTTTGTGATTATTGCCATGGTCTGGATGAAGGAATGATGATGAGGAGTTGAAGTACTGTGATTACCTAATCAAGGTGGGGTGGAGAGAATCAGGAGACATGTAGGCAGTGATAGAAACTGGTGCCCAAGGAATGCAAAGGGTAAAAACAGAGAAAGAACAGGGACAGTGCGGAAATTGCTAAAGTCTATAAACTGAAACAGAAGCCAGGAGAGGAAACAGTATCCTGGGGATATGAGATGGATCTCATAAGGGAGGTGAGCACTGACACACAGATCTGGAAGTTATCTGAGTAGGTGGTAGTGGCTGAAATAGATGTGATTCTGGTGAATTTCATAGATACAGTCTTCAACTATTTATGTTTAAAGCAGGTATATCCCCCCCCACCCAAGTGAAGTAGAAACAGGCATAGAAGAATCAGGAAATGAAAATGGAGTTATATAACCCCTGTCCAAATGACATCAGGAAGGAATGGTATGGCATTAAAGATAAGGCAAGTTCAAATACTACAAATATTCTAAGAATTGGCTGCATTTATAAAGGTAGTACTTATTAATCTTAGTAAGTCCTAAAATACTATATAATCATATATATCTCAGTATTTATATATTTCTATTGTTTTAAACACACGCTTTCCCAACATTCATTTGACACTCAGTAGGTAAGATGAATCATGTAGTTTTAGGACTTACATGCCCAAGGACTTTCATGACCAAGCAATATATAGTCTAGTAGGAAAGACACATAATCATATAAATATGCAGCTCAATAACTATTCTCGGGCATACATATTACAGACTGGAAGATATTCTAATATATTTAAAATGAACCCCAAATATCATGGTAGCACAGAAAATAGAGATTTTATTTCTAGGGAGATAATGACACTGTTGTACAGAAGATGCTGTTGAATTGGTTTTATTATATTGATGGATATGATGTTATTAATAATACAATGTTTCAGAATATTTTAATAGTTCTGGCACTACATTAGGCATTTGTGTCACACAATTTATTCTTTACAAGAAGTCAGTCTGTGAAGCCAGTATTATTGTCTAACTTGATCTAGGAATGTGCCTCAAATCTCCTAGGCAATTAGCAGGAAAGCAGGGATTGCAACCCAGAACCATTTGATTTAACACTGAGCCCATTTTTCCTATGCTCAATGCTGCGCTGACTCTCATAGGATGTACAATGTTCTTCAGGAGGCTGGGAGGGAAGGCAAAGGGCTCTAAAATCAACATTTCCAAATGCATTTAGTCTTGAAAAGGCAGAGCCCTTCTGAGGAATGAGATAGACAGTGTAGTACAGGGGGAGATATCAAGAGGAGGAAATATATAACATGCATTGTTTAATAGCTTTGCATGTCTTATTTCATCTAGTCCCTACAACATTGCTGAGGAAGGCATGTACCTGTGAATATTATCATGAAGTTTCAAAATAAACGCCAAGTACATACCTAAATATTTTTCTCTAAAGACTAAGTTTTGAAATTGCTGTTATACTGCTCATCATAAATGTACATCTTTATTTTATCATAGTTGTACATCAGTTGTATAATAACAATATCGCTAATATGTGCCATGGGCTTTGGAATTAGGAAATTACTTTTAATTTCAAATAGAATAGTTTCGGCCAGATGCTAACAATGTAATGAACAGCAGAGGACTATATAGGCAGTGAAAAATGAAAGATGATTATTGATCATCTATTCAAGAAATTTGGTTGTGAAGGAAAAAGAGACTTCCTTCATTCAAATTTTATATTGCATAAAGTATCTACATATTTTCAAAGAATTTACCTCAGTGACAAACTAGAATGTATTGAACATACTAAGTCCATCTTCCATAGTTCTTTCAGGGGATAACCTTCCAAAAACCCACTAGAATGCACAGACTGATGTTCATGTATGATGAAGATACACACTGCCTACTTTGTAGCTAAGAAAATAAACAGAATATGTAAAAGAAATCCTGATATTACTTCAAATAGGTCTTGTTGGAAATCAGAATAGAAGATCTGAGAAGTAATTTCAACATTTAGCTCTTATAAATGTCATGTTGTACTTAAAATGATCCCAGAATGGTAGCATTCCATTAAAAAGACTTTGTTTGTTTGTGGTTAAATGTGTAGAATAAAGATGACACAAGTTTGTCCAAAAAGCTACCAACTTAATACATTATCTGAGAATGATGATTTTTTTCACATTCTGGCATTAAAAATATCTTTCTTTTAAAATATGTTAGCTAGTGAGATTTTTTTAAATTGACATTTCCAACATTTTTTGGAACCTAACTGATCTCAAGGAATCACAGTTTTGGGGAATTTTAATCATCTAGCAATGAAGTGTTCACATACTAAGAAAAACTTTTAAATTTATAATTCTTTGTAGCCTGTACAGAGGTAAATCATATTATCACAACATTTTCAGTTTGCTAATGCACACTGAGAATAACTAGACATATAGTGTCTGGCTGAATTTGAATCTAATCTTTAAACAGATGATGCACAGGACTTAATTAAAAGCTTCAAGATACACTGGTAGTAAAGATTAAAGTGTGCAACCCCTAAACCATTTCAAAATGGCTTTGCCCAGATTCACCTGAGCTTGGGTTATCTATTTAAACATAGTGGTAGAGATGTTGGAGAAACGGTTCAGATGACTTATTTCAACCAGGAAGTAAAAGGAAGTAACAATCCATGTGCATATGGCTTAATATTGAAAACAAACAAGTGTTGGCAACTAGAGGTGATTAAATTTGTGAATGATGATGTGATGCTGTTCATCATACAAAAGGATGTGTTGACAAGCCCTAGTCCAGAAAGCTTCCTTGGAAAACGCGGCTACAATATTCAGGTTCCATAAATTAATAACGGCCGTCTGTGCTTGGGAAAGTGTTAACATTCTGTGCACTGTTAAAAGGACTGGATGATTATGCAGCTTTGTTTAAATTTTAATAAAAATGCAAAGAACCATCAAAATAAACAGACATAATTATGCACTCTGAAGGCTGTACCGAATACTTCTAAAGAACAACACGAGAAAATTAATTTCTCTGTACTGGGTTCAGTGCAGCAAGAGGCCTCAGTGAACAAGGTGCCAGAAGATCCCAACTCAGGAACATGACAGTGAGGCTCAGTGAGTACAGCTGGTGGTAAAATGACTGTCTTGGCAACTAACATTGCCTTTCAACGTGGAGTATGTGATGATTTCAGCACCACAGTCTCCACCAATCGATTAAGGTCATTTATTATATACAATTTATCCCAAATATAGTAATAATAACTCCCAAGAAAATCAAAATGGATGTGATATGTAACCTAAAAAGTTCATTTTGCTTATTCTTTCCTTAAAGCATTAGTAAATACTATGAATAAAAACTAGGTATTGTTTACAAAGAAAGGTTGTTTTGCTTATTTTTTTAATGTTTCATGCTTTTATTTACTTACTTTTGAACTTTTTCATTGGCTGCTTGGGAGACCTCTACAGCACACTGAAGCTGCAATTCCATGTTTGCTTGCTGAGTCAGAGCCTGCTCAAGTTGGGCGGCCAGTTCTTCGTTCTGCTGTTGAGTGATGGAAACAACGTGCTCTCTGTTTTTTAAGGCTTCTTCATAGGTACTTAGGGCATGGTTAAACTGATCTTTCAAGTTTTCTTCTTGAGATAATGATTTGTGTAAACTGAGAAAATATAAAAATATAAATAAATAGGTAGGCTGACAGTTCAATGATTTGTTTAATAATAAAAATCTTCATTTGGAATCCCCACTTCTAAAAATCAATACAGAAATACTTAAATGGGCAAATGTAAATAGGTTCTTATAACATATTATTATAATTGATCATTGTTCTGTAACTCTGTTACTAGGCCAAAAGCTACTCAGACAACTGATTATCTATGCGATCAAAGCACACAGAAAGATGCTGTAAAATGTTAATTTAATTATGTCAGTGTAAATATTACATTCAATTTTCTTTTAAAGGAATAGCTCAGAACTAGAAAATAAAGTATCTCTAGGTAAATAAAAAGTATAATAAGCTGACTGCAAAGACGTGAGGAGAGAATGGACAGCATTTTGGGAGATCCAGGGCCTATGGAAGCACTTAATGAGAATGAATGAGGTTTGTGCAAACACCCATCAGCCTTATACAGACTCACAGTGGAAATATGAATGAAGGTAAAAATCACCAGTCAGATGATATGTATTCAGATATATATTTTTATGGTTAATGAGTCTTATGATAAATACATCTACTCATTAAGTGATAGGGAAAAAGAGCATATAAATTAAGACTAAATGAATGCAGAAGAAAATGCAGACAAATAGAACCCTAAAATGCTAAAGGTCAGATCTTTGATATGTCATTACACCCACCACCTGAGGTTATTTTGAAATGGCACCAAGCACCTCACTCAATTAAATAAAGACATTTTGAAAATATAAATATTTAATAAGGGAAATTTAAAATCCACATAGGAGATGTTCTTTTTTATTAAATAAAATCATTCCAGTATATGCATACAAAGGAAATGTCGACCGAAATGTTGGAAGTACAACCACTGAGCTATATGACACAAGTTGATAATATGAATGAAAGCAATATAATTCTTAAAGCTGTACAAAGCTAAACAGAGAACTTCAGGACTGACCTGATGCTTCATCTAAAATTGTTCAGATGAAATGAAAGTGATCATAAATTTCTTCTTTTCAGCTTACAGATAAACATTTATAGTCTCCTCACTGTGGGGTAGGTATCACGTAGAAACAAAGAATTGACATATCATACGAAATCATTTTAGGCTTTAAATTAATCCTTAACAGTAGACTGTTGCTAAACTCTGGTCAATTGATTATCCCATGTAAAATTAGAGTGATGTGCAGACTGATAAGTGACTGGAACCTTTACATCTTAGCTCAAAAAGACTGCTCATTCAAATTGCCTCACAAACACCCACCTTCCATCAATGTCCTTAAGCAGAAGCAGTAGCTACATTGATCTTTTAAAAGTGATATCAATATATCCTGTAAAGGTATCTCATGTGCTCCGGAAAAAAAAAATCTCCAAATCTAACAAATTGCACTTCTTAACTCACTAAACCTGCGAACAAATACTGTCTTTGTTTTATGAATGAAGACATTGAAACAAAGAGAGGCAGGTAATTTAATCAATCCCATCCCCCTAGAAGAGCCTGCATTTGACCTCTTAGCTTCCCCCAACCCGAAACCCCAGGTTGAACACTCACTCCTCTGTGCTGGCCACATCTACCTGAGCACTTTATCATCTGGCCTTTCTACTTCAACCTTCAGCCAGTTTCTTAACCAGAGGGCTGTCCCTGCCCAGGGCATTTGTTTGCACTGTCTTCCCTCCATGCAACCGCTACTCAGCAGGGATGCTTCAGTCTAAATACTGCTTCCCCTGACAGAACTTCCAGACTCTCCAAATTGAATGGGTTTTAATCGTTAGTTCTTTGAACATTTCACACAAGCATGTAATATATTCTGGTGACTCTCTCCCACATTCTCTCTTATCTTCTTCCTACGTATCAACCTCATTCTCTCTTACCTGTCTCTTTCCTAGATGCAAGGCTTTGAATCTGGTTTTGTTCCCTGACCCACTGAGTTTAATCAGGGCCACCTGGTGGAGTCACTTGTGGGCACACAAGAAAGGCAAATGCTCCCCTCTGTGAACCTTGCAGTTCAGAAGTGTGGGACCACCACCCATTCTTGTACAGATCCAGTGTAGACATCTGCAGTTGTTGAGTTTATAATGGCTGTGTATTGTTCAGAATTTGGATGAGGGGATGACAGCGTTTATAGGAGCCCTAGTCCTTATTGTCTGACCTTCACATTCTTTTTACCTCCTCTACTGCAATGCTCCCAGAACCTAGGAGGGGATGATATTAAATGACTGAACACTCACCTGTCACTTATTCTTTTACTTGTGTAGCCCGTTCATTGGAAAGAGGTTTCTCTGATTAAGACTGTAGTTACCTATATGTATAAACATGCATGCACGCACATGTGTGTGCGCGCGCACACACACACACACACACACACACACACACACACACACACACACACACACACACAAATTCAGAAGGAGGTTTGAGCATATGACAGTTAAGCTAAATAACAGAATTAAATTCACTGTTAGTGTGAATACAAACTCATGTACCCACTATGGAAATCTGTGGGAATTCCCCAAAAAGCTAAAAATAGAACTACCACATGTTTATCCCTCTTCTGGACATATACCCAAAGAAATTTATTTCCTACTACTGAAATACTTGCTTAGCCATATTTATTGCAACTGTATTCATAATAACTAGGGAATGGAATCAGTCTAGATGTTCATCAGCTGATGAGTGGATGATAAGATGTGGTACATATTCACAATGGATGGGATTGGCTGGCAAATGGATGGAACTGGAAAGAGTTATGTGTCCCTGCATTGGAATCTTTGATTTTGTGTCTTCAGCATAGAGTTCCTGCAGAGCTCAAAGGTCTAGAAAGAATCTGCTGTTGGGAGAGGGATATTTAAGGGAGAAGGGATAATAAAGCATAGGGGAAATGAAAGAGAGAGATGCAATCCTAGGAATGGAGAGATTCAAGCAGCTGGCTGGTTAGGAAACATTAGGACAGGTTAATAAAGATGAAGGTGACATGAAAAAGCCATCTGTAAGCTACTATCTTGTGATCAACGTAAAAAATGAAAACAAACAAAGTGCTGGGGAATGGGGATACCCTGAATGGTTTGAAAGAACTCCAAAAAGCTGTGGGTTATTACACAAAGAACTCGGTACCAGCTATGTTACACTTCCTTATGAGGTGTTGGTCAGAGAAGACTCTCGAGGCCCCCTAAACAATACAAGCTCTTGTCATGCTTTTTGGTTGCCCACCATGACAAGATGGTAAGACCCCATAGCTGAAAGACACAAAGAATAAATAAAAAGAAAGTTAAAAAATTACTAAGAAACTGTAATAGTTAATCTCAACTGTCAATTTATCAAGATTTAGAGTTATGTACATGTCAAACTTCTGGGTTTGTCTGCAAAGGTGTTTCCATGAAAATTTAGCTGCAGTTGATCTTCTTGAATGTGAGTAGCCAAAATACACCAGTCTCCTCCTACGTGGCTTCTCTGGAGTGTTTTGTCATAGCCACGATAAGAGTAACATAGTACTATTTCACATTTTTACATTTTAATACCTAAAACTGAATTATCTCTGGATTACTACATTAATTACAATGGAGGATCAAGATAGAAAAGGTCCCTCAGTGGGTACTTCTCCAATAAGTGGTGTGCAAAAGACTTTAAAATTTTTTTTTGACACAGAATCTTGCTGTGTTTTAGGCTGGTCTAGAATTTGCAATACAGTCCAGGTTGTCTTTGAACTTGCAGTCCTCTCAGGCCTGGGATTATAGTCATGTGCTGCTACACCTTGTTGGAAAACCCCACTCCCAACCCCACCTTCAATAACCTAGTATCAGTAGGCCATGTCAACATGAGCCACCAAAATCTGACACATTTCCATTGTTACCAAGAATCAGGTATTCTAATTATGCACATGTGCTAACCCTTAGAAAAAGCCAGAGCCTTCTTTTCCAGCCCAATTTTCCCTTCCACCCTCGCTCAGAGTCAGCCTCTGCATAACCTCCTTTCCTCAATAAACCTGTCGAGTGAAATCTATTGCATGGCATGATCTTTGTAGCATACTTTGGCCCAGACCTGCTAAGGTACTCTGCCACTAAATCTTAACAAACCCGGCTTTGACTTCTTTTTTGTAGTGTTTTCTTTCTGTTCAGATGTTTCCTGGTTGTCTCTATGATTTTCCTGGATGCTGACTCTATACAGCTTCAGCTTAAACCATTTAGTGCTATCAGGCCCATGACCACACAACAGCATGCATTCTCATGCAGTATATGTTCTCCTCAACTGGTATGCTTATCTGCTTGTCAAACTCTTGATTGTAATGTCACACATGGCTTCAGCTGAGGTACTTGTGCATTTGCACTTATCCACTAATACCACATTTTCATGCTACTTTTTTGATGTCCTCTCTTTTCTCCATGGTGTATTATTAAAGTCCTACCTAAGGAGACCTACTGACCTACAACAAGCACTTAACTGAAGGGCATAGAAAAAACTGTTTATAGTATTTGCCTTCAGTGTGACAAGACTAATTTGGGCAAGAAACCGTTCTTTCCTGGACTGCTTGATAAAAGGCCCTCAGAAGAGTCAAACTGCTAAACTTGCCAAGATGAGATGGGATGGTCCTTCCGAATTCCTGCTTCACAGAGGAAGCTGCCAGACATTCTATAGGATACAGAAGAAAGCAACTGGAGAACTTTGCCAGTACAAGGCAGAACAGTACAAGGCAGAACAGTACTTCAAAATTCCTGTTTCATTAAAAGGTCTGCCAGATGCTATGGGCCTGTGGGCTGAAGATGGATGCCCCAACGCTGTAGAGGAACTATGGGAGACTGTCCAGATAGCAAGATGTCTTTGTCAATTCTAGAGATTTGGAAATTGTTTACAATGCACTTTCTGTTTACTTAGATAGTATTATATTCTTCTGGGGTCCTTGATGAAGTTGAAAATAGATAGTTATAGTTTTCCTTAGTTATGACAAAAGATAAATTGGATATAAAACTTTGGATTCAAAAGTTAGGATAAATGA